TCACAGTCATTGCATGTTTGAGCCCATTGTTTCAGCCACTGTGTCAGTCCATCTCATTGGGGGTCTTCCCCTTTTTCACTGACCCCCTATTTTGTGCCTATGCCCCATTGGTGTCTGAATTAAGCAGCAGGTCCATTGTCATCTTTAATTATGAATTACAGGCAAAAATGAAGTCCCCAAACTAAGATCCTCTAACTTTTTTCCAGGTGAGTAGTTAGGCCAGGCTTCTCCCTTATACAAAGCAGAGCTCTATTAAGCATCTGGGTTTCTTCTGAGTTCTTTAAAATAGTCCCTTACCTTTTGTTCTTTAAACTTTCTATTTTGATGTAACTGTAGATTCACATGTAGTTGTAAGAAATGATGCAGAGAGATCCTCTGTACTCCTCACCCAGTTTCCCCCAGTGGTAACATCTCACACTTATTGTACAATATCACAACTAGGAAATTGACATTGCTAATAGGATAACCAAACCAAACTCACTGCCATTGAGTTGATTCTGACTTATAGTGACCCCCGTTGGGTTTCCAAGGCTGTAAATTTTCACAAAAGCAGACTGCTTCATCTTTCTTCTGTGGAGCGGCTGGTGGGTTCGAACTATTGACCTTTTGGTTAGCAGCCAAATGCCTTAATAAGTACACCACTAGAGCTCCTTACTATACTGCCAGAGCTCCTTAATAGGATAAAATCCTACCTTACTTCAGATTTCACCAGCTTTACATGCACTATGCATGTATGTTTGTGTGTATGTAACAGTATTAATGACATGGTTCCTTTGAAAGCCAAGAAACATTTTGGTTCCAAAAAAAGGATATGATTTAAAAGAATGAGCTCCCTTTTAAGTAAGCAGTTTCAAAGGCATTTTTCTCACGTTTTCTGTATTTGGAGTGCCCCACTTACCTGCCCACTCTGAAGATTACAAAGTATACTTACTGGCACACTTAACTCTGTAAATGAACTAACAGCAGCTATGGTTGGAATTGGACCAACTTCTCCCTCCCCCGCTTCCCCACCTCTTTGAGTTTACAGGTACACACACACACACACACACATCCACACACACTCAGATTTTCTGCTGCTTGCCTTTTTTTATGCCTGAGCACCTTGCTGACAAGTGCTAATAACAAAATACCCAGAGAGAGTCCAGTTGAAGTTAGCACACATTAAACATTCTGAACTTGTCCTTTTGCTCATAGATTGTGCATAATTAATAATTAAACAGTTTCAGTTGTAATGGGTTGACCTTCCTGAACTGTTCATTATTCACAAGGCAAAGGCATCACTCAAACTTTTTTCCTATTGTCCTTCACTGTTCTCCAACATGCCACGTGTTTGTGTTCCAGTTGTTTAGCAAAAGGGGCTGACCAGGTAGTTATTGAAACCTCTGAGACTTGGAGACTGTCCTCCTGGATGGCCAGAATTGCTTACTGAAATGGTTTATGGCAGCTGTTTTTATATAACAGTTGCTAGCTCGATAACCAGATCCAGCTCTGTGTCCTTTTAGCAGGGCTCTAAAGTTGATTTGGGACTAGGATCTCAGATTAAGGCTTTTGGTGAAGGTTGTGTCCATCACATACCTCTGTGATGTGAAAAGCATCACCAAAAACAAAAACAATAGTGTCCTTACGGTGAAGTATGACACCCACGGTTTTAAAGAGAGTGGCTTTCACTGACAATCTAGAGCCTGTTTCAGCCAGTCCTAAGAGCCTAACTGCTTCTCCAGTCCATGCTTATATTTTGGAAATGTTATTTTTTTTTTTTTTTATCTTAACCCATATGGTGCATTTCACAGAAGAAATTTTTTATAAGAAGCAACTAGATCCTCTGAACCCCTTGGAATGGTTCTCACTCTTTGTACAACCTTGCGGTGACCAGGTGCTGTCCCTCCCAATGAGCTGCCCTTAAACTCTAGTCATCTGAAGCACAGATTTACTCCGCTCCTTCCTGCCACCTTCCCACAGATTTTAATTCAATAATGAAATGTGCATGTTCTTGCAGGTTTTTTGGGGGGGATTTTTTTTAAACATCTTCATCTAAACTACTCATTTTATTTGCTTAAAAAAAGAAAAAAAGTATACTTTAATATCCCCCCAAGGCGGTAAAGATTGTCAGCTATATTCATTTGCTTTCCTTTAGGGTTTTAGCAGCCTGCCTACATTTTTTAAGTTGGAGACTCTGGAGGGGGAGAGTCACTTTGCCCTGCCCTCAGTGTTTGTGTGTGACATTCTGACCCCCTCCTGACCTAGTCAGTGTTCTGTATCTCAGGAAAGTCTCCTTTGAGATATGCAAAAGACGTGGATTTTAAAAAGAAAGGGCTGGCATTACGCCTGTGAGATGAAACTTCCCCACCCCCCATTTTTGATGAGTTCCTTCCAGGCACCACTGGGATGAGAATCCACTCTCTGTGGTTCTGCAAAGTCGACTTGGGCTGGCATTTTCAGAAGTGAAATAAATTATTCATGGGTACCACCCAGTGTTCCTTAGTTTTATATTATGAGGAACTTAACAGGCTACAATATCAGGTCTTAAATAAAATTAACTACCCATGCAAAGATGTCACATTTCCTCATTTTGTTTCTCATCCATGTTAAAGTGACATCTTCATCAAGTGGCCTAGTCTATAATTCATTAATTTACTCTTGGTATCAGACTTTGAAATGAGGTCCACATTAGCATCACGTTTTATACCAAAATCTCTGTAAAAGTCCAGTCCAGAATCTTAACCATCTTCGTAAATATTCAACCGCATTTAGACAGGAAGCTTTTTTTTTTTAATTTTCCTTAACCTTGCATTTTAAAATGTCTGCTACTCATATACTTCCAGTACTACCCCTGCTTTAACCCAGAAAGAAATGACTTAGAGAACCTTTCTAACTGATCAAAGTCTATCATTTTTACACCTCAGACTTTGAACTACCTTTTTATTAATGTTTTTTAAGACAGTAAAATGTCATTTCTTGAACAGAGCCTCATAGAATCTTGCAGACTGGGTGATATATATGGCTTTCCTAAAACAGACTGGAACTGAAATTGATATCATGTTTTATTTTTGTTCTTCAAACCAATGGGACTTCTGTGACCATTTTATAGTACCTTTATCGAGGACTTGTCATGTTACTGCCTGCCTTGTTTCTTCTGAGTGTACTCTTTCCTCAGTCCCCACCCTCCCCACCCCACCCCCGTTTTTCATATCTTCTCTATGTAATGCCTGCTTGTAATCCTTTGAACTTGGCAAGATTTTATTTTACTGTCATTTTCCTTTCTTTTTGGAAGCCTTCCTGTACTGGTGAGATCTTTAAGTTCAGAATTTTGAATCTTTCTTTAGATGAATGAAGTAAATTCAAAGAGGACTAAGACACAAAAAACAGGAAACATTTGTTCATATCCTGCCCCCTCCCTTTTTTAACCTCTCCAGGATTTTTGTTTTTGCCTACTTTGACCCCCTCAGTTCTTTTGATTTAATTGTATTTTCCAGCAGTTTCCAATTGTTTGAATTGGAGACAAAGCCTTAATAAGAGTTCTAGTTAATTTTCTGTCTTGTAATTACCGATCTCATTTTTCTGATAATTGGCCATAGCAATTATATGTATATTTACTAATCACATAGGAGGCTGTGCAATTGTATCTATCTGCCACCATTGATAATGACACGCATATTGCAGAGGTGCTTTTATCATCTTCTTTTTTCCACTACATCAAAGCTATTTCCTCGCATTCTCAATAATGAATACATGCATGCATTTGACACAGTTGTGTGCTAGAGAAATTGTTTGGCTCCTACCAAATGCTGCATGCTCAGAGTTTCTTGCCTGCAGCGCTGGAAGGTTGTATGTAATGATATATTGCTCATCCAAATGGCCAAAGCACTCCAAAGCACAGTGAGATTAAAATAAGTCATTCCTTTGTTAATTTAAATAGGTGCATGTATCATACTTTGCAGGGCACTTTGTGTAGGGATGTCAAGAAGGAAAAAAAGCCGCCGAAAGGTATTTTTAATAGCAAATGAGAATAGATGAGAATGGAGTCATTTGCAGCTGCCTACTTTATGTGGCTCTCTTGTTCCAACTGTAGGTCTAATGAGATGACTGTTAAAGTACTCTGCAGTGTAATTTCATTACATCCTGAGCTGCTACACTATAAACACAGTGGAGCTCTCTGTCATTCTTGGAAAAACTCCTAAATTCTTAAAGCCTTCCTCTGCCAACGGTAATGGGGTTTGCTCCCTGGGTTACGTGGCCATCGTGGTTTGTTGCTGTGTAGTTTTCTGCTCTTTTGAGTGACCTGTACCTCTACCACAGTGTTGCTTGGTGGTCTGTCTGGGAGTTTCTCATTGCGTCCTTAATTCCCTGGCTTTTGTAAGTATGTTAGAGACGAGTTTGCCTAGACTGGTGGGAAAAAATAGGCTGAAATTTCTTCTCAGGAAACAACTTTCCCTATAAAAAGCTTGCCTATGAAAGTGAACCAGAAAAAAACATCCGGCCCAAAAGATTCGGTTAGGAGCCAGTAGTTAATTAAGAGCAGTTGAATATACAAATAAATGTAAATAAAAAAGAAAATGTAAATAAATAGCAAATCCAGTAAAAGAAGCAAAGGTCAACACAAGAATAATTTCACAGTTCTTTGTTAATTACAAGACCATTTGTGTGTTACTTAAATAATCATTAATTTCTCATTTACACTTTCCCTACCTTCTTTCCTACCCTGTGGCTATCATTGTCCTTTTTTCACCTCCCCTCCCTCTTTGCTCTCATGTTTCTCACCATCGTAAAATGTGTGTGGCTTTAAATTTGGCATTTTTACACAAACATGTGGAGGAGGGTGTAGACAGGCTTTTTAATTGGATGAGGCTTTATTTTCCTCTCCTCATGGTGGTAAATTCTTATTATATATTCATCTTATACCACTGCCTTGCTGTTGCCAGGCTGGGGGTGGGAGGGGTGGAATACAAAGAAGGAAAAGGAATTGTTCTGACTTTTGGTGACTTGTTTTTCTTCCTTCCTAGGATTCGCCCGTCCTTCCGGTTGGAGAGTTCTCTGAGCCATTTGTACATTTCATCACTCAGTGGTGAGCCCGTTTGCAAACATGCCATGCCCTCAATGTAAATGATACATGCCATTAACTCGGCGGCTCCATGAGACCTTATGGCTCTCCCCGCTTCCTTTTGGAGAGGGGAGGGACTTTGGGGCCTTGGGCAGATGGGGCAGCAAAGCTGAAGAAATTGTTTAAATTATGTAACCGTTATTTACACAAAGGGTCATAAACGTACTTCGGAGGCTTTTTCCTGTTTTAATAAACTACTGAGAATAGGGTTCTTCTTTGCACACAGATACTGTTGGTAGCCTTTTGTTTTTGTTTTGTTTTGTTTGTTTGTTTTTAAAGAAATACACAATTTTATAACCCCTATTGAACACTTATGAAGCTTATTTTTATTACTGTAACCTCAAGTTACCCATAAAACTGTCTGTCACTTAGTGGAAGCAGCCGAGTTTATTTAATTCACTGGATTTTCAGTAAATAACTTTTATCTTTGTTTATATTTTAATGAAATACTCAGGCCCTTGCTCAGTGAATTTTGATGTTTAAAAGACTGAAAACATTTCAAGATCCACTTGAACCCTTAGGAGCACAGTATTTAAATCCAAAGGGGCCCTCAGAGTCTTCAGGCAACCCCCTATCACTTTACACCTGAGGAAACAGGCATTTTTCTGCCAAAGGTTCTTTTCTAGCCTTCTGCCTTTCTCGTCCTAGCAGAATGAGTCTTTCTTTTATTATCCCTTCCACTAGCATCCACCTCTTCCCCCGTCCAGCAGCACTTGCATGGCCTTAGAAGGCCCGTTGCTCCGCTGCCCTCCTTCTGCCCTCTCCCTCATCCCAACATGAGAGAAGACTGTTTAGGAGTGAGAGAGGAGAGGGTGTCAGGAGCATAAGGATGACTACCTCAGCAGGAAGGAGACGACCGATTGAAAACTGGTCCAGACATTCTGGAACTCTGTTATAACTGTCTTTACTTCCCTTTCCTTCCTTCACCAAAGTCCTCATTTCATCATGCCCTCCGAGTTGTGTCCACTGGTGGAAAATGAATGGGCAGACCCTGACAAAAGAAACCCTTCATTCCTGTGTGTAGGGCCGTGAGGTGGTGCAGTCGGGAGTCCTTGCTAACCTGAAATGGCTGCACATGTCCCCTTCCCCTTCCCCTCCCCCATGATCCATCTGATGATCACACTAAAGTGAAACCAAGAAATATTCCTTAATATAAATGTCAAGCTTTATCACCTTTTTGACTAAGTGTAATATGTTACCTCTTAATAAAAACGTCTCGTACAGTTTATATTCCATAGAAAAATACGTGGTGAACAGATTTTCCCCCTGACTTTTAAAATTTTATTAACACCGTTCCTATTTATTTAAAATACTTATATATTTTGTAGCTTTTAAAAACTATTTTTGCTTTGAAAACATTTAATTTCCAAAGCATGCCATATTGGAAAAAAAAAAAAATGCATACCTATAGATTAAACACAGGAATCCTATGCTGTTGTGAACCTCAGTAATGTTAGAGCCATTATCCAGAAGTATATATTAATCTTTCTCAGTTTCCTTTACATAGAATTCCTCAAAATACTCAGAAGCACCTCATAGGAATGCCCCTTGAAATGCAGAAATTGAAAAACAAAACATGAGATTCCCATGCTGCCTGGAATACCTGGTTTCGGCATCACCTGATCAGGGATGTTAGATCTGTGGCAAGACCAGTGGGCTTATCTTGCTGTGTGGTCTGAAACCAACCTGGGGGCAGGGCCAGTTCTGGGCTGACAGCAAAAAAGTGGGTAAGGCCTTGCCTTCATACTGTCCAAAAAACTAATCAGCTGTTATATAAAAGTTTTATAGAGACAAAGGGATAACCTGTGTTAAAATTTCCACAGATGTCAAGCCGAAACAGAAATGATAGTGGGTAATAGCCTTGTTTTCCCAAGAGATACAGCTACTTTGGAATGTCAGATTAGGACTGTTACCAACTCCACTGGTGAGACAGCTTGAATTACTTGTTAATGGATGTAGTATTTGAGAGGTGCATATGGTTATTTATAGGGAAAGCAAATGTCCTTGATTTCATAACTTGATTTCATAGTTCATAACTATTGTTCTTGTTTGCCAAATGGTCATTGAATCTCTCTAAAAAAAATAAAATACTGTCAGCAAATGCAGATTATATGAAGGGTTTTCCTCTTGCTTGTTAGAGGTTATCTTATGTAAAGAAAAAGCATCTCTGTGATTTAACTCTTCCACGTGATAGGAGCAGCAATCTTTCTTCATGACTTTGTCCCACAGATACTGAGTGTAGAACAAATGCAGCCGTCAACTAGGCAGCTACCAAAGGTCACCTCAGTTCCATGTGTGGCTGCTTCATCACGTAGTTAAGTACTTTCTATGGCTACTAATTATACCTACTGCATGGAAGACAAGAAAGATTTTGTATGAGGAATGTGATTCTCTAAGCTGCTTAAACAGACTCAGCTCTCCCACAGCTGTTTAATGAATTATCAACTTGCATCATAGCCAAAATAAATGAAAGTTGAGATAATGTGTGATAATGCACTTGTGATTTTGTGGCATTATCTAGATTCTGACCTCTGTTATATATGACTTGTCATACCAAGTCATAATGAAAGAATGAGATGTTTTCTCATCTGACATGATAGTCATGTTTCTTTTCCTGTTGTCTTACCCCAATTACAAAAAAAAATAAATGAAGTCTATTGTTCCCAAAATTTAAGTGTGAAATAAATTGATAACTGGGTCAGGAAGAGAGTGTTGCTGCTTTTTTCACATTAGTTTTAAAAGTAGAATTAGAATAAATTTAAATTCATTCTTTCTCTATTTTGCAAGACTTAACTCCAAAAAAATAATTTTTGTTTTTCTGACTCATGAAGTCCCCAGAAATCTGATTAAATAAAAGTCAGAATAAAAGAAAGAGGCTATAGGATAACACTTTGGCCAGGGCTGAACATGATGAATTTTGAGAACATATTCAGATTCCAGGCCAAGTAGTCAGTCAGTGGTGGAAATTATAGCACCTTTTCAAATGATACAGATAATATGAGATTTTTTTTCCTCCTATAGCATGCGAAAGCAGCCAAAAGAAAGGCCAGCACCTGAGGAGTTGATGGTACGTAAAATTTTGGTTACATTAGAATTCTCCAGTTATATATCCATATTCTGTTGTAAGGGCCAGAATGGGATTTAAAACATCCACAGACTCTGGAGAGACAACATCATTTACTTCATTGGAGTAGGCATTTTTGAAGCTCATGCCCTCAAATATTATTAGTTTTCACTTTTTAAACATTCTCCACTATTTTGAAAGTTAATGCAGAACCTTTCATTCATGGGTCACATCTTAATGTAGGTTACTTTGTGCCCATCTGCTGTTACAGCCTTTTAGAATTCAGAGGATTGGTAACAGAGAGGATAGTCAACGTATTAAGTTTTTAATGCAGTCCTACAGGAAATTCTGAATGTAGTGTGGAGTCCTCTTGGATTCATGTAGAATGAAATTAGATTGGCTGTAAAAGATCAAGTTAATGTGAATCTTTGGTCTTTCCTCAGAAGTAGACAACTACAAGGCTGCTAGTGCTGTGTTCTCAGCTCCAAGGCAGCTTTCTTTGATTGGAAATGACAGTTTTTAGTCAAGCAGGGAGAGGAACAGAGACGCTCCCTAACAATTCCCAAATGGTCATTTATTTAGTGCAGACTGTTGATTTGACAATGCACAAGCTGTTAGAATAAGTTAGGATGGAGCATTAGTAAATAATAATTATAGTCTACTCTTTTTAATGTTTTGCGTACCATTCCCTGTCTTTAGATTTCTGCAGTCAGAGCAAATTCCAACCAATTTTCTTTCATGTCTTTCAACAATATGCATTTTAAAGATACCACCTGAGAGGATTTCCTCCTTTGTACTCCATCTTCACAAACACCTCTAAGCTCCCAAAGTTCTATACAGTACAGATTTCACCCCCAAATATGAAATAGCAGTATATTTCCCTTTTGTATTATGACTCCTTTCCAGGAAGGTTCTTTTCTCCTTCATGTTTCCCCCAGAGCAAAATGTCAGTTTTCAGGGTAGTTTCAAGTTAAAGTTTACCCCTAAAACCTCTACAGTTTATAACTGCACAGATTTCATGTTTAGAATAAACTTGGGGTTTTTTTGGGGGGGGTCTCTTTGATGCTTGGGAAATTCTTGTATTTAGTCACATTTGAGAAAACTTGGAACAGATTCTAGAGATGGAGACCCATTTACCTTGTGCATTATTATGCTGTGGCTGGATAGCTCAGCTATTAAAACAAAAGAATAAGGTTTCATAAAACAGATATCTGTTTGTAAATGCATGTTTCAGTGCTGCAATGAGTTGGCCACTTATAAATAAAACATTTGCAGATCACACATACACCATCAATATATATGTATGTCTGTCTTGGTAAGGAACACCACCCCAGGGTGGCAAGTCATAAAGAAAGGCTAAGGGTGAGTACTTTCAGTGCCCTGGAACCGTTCGTGTGTGTGTTTGCATGTGTGTGTGTATGCGTGTGTGTGATGTGTGAGGAGGAATATGTATCTAGATATATCTCTTTACAACTAATACCCTGATGTGTGCTGTCTTGCATTTTTAATTAATAAATATCAATAAATCAATAAAATACAATGAGCAATTTAGTCATAGGGAGCATTATCCTATACTTAATTTAACATTATTTCTAGTACTGCTCACAGTTTGATTTTAAATGAATTTATTCCCAGAAGTATAGCAAGAGTGAGGCATCCCTGGCTTGGTAAGGACTCAGTGAGGAGGCAGGAAAAATGAGAATATGAGGCTTCTGTGCCAAAGACTTGCCTGCCTTTGGTCAACAGATTGGGCCCAATAGAGGATGGGAAAGAAAGTGGGTCATCCCATTCTTAAGTGGGCTTAAAGAACCTTGAGTCACATCCGAGGGACCAAGTTTAAGGAACCAGTCTCTGCATTCCTTCAGGCATATTAATGGCTTTAATTTTTCCTTTTCCTTCTCTGCCTGCAACCTATTTGATGGTGCTCCCATCTGGAAGTGAGAGCCTCCTGTGGAATGCATGAACTGTAGAGCCCATTTGTCTCTGTGGATGGGGAGGGGCCTGTGGCTCTCCCCAAAAGAGCAGTTTATCTCCCAAGTGCAATAACCCCACCTAGCAGGTACCAACGTAGTCTGCATCAGCTGTGTTATGGGCCTGCATGTCCCAAAGCAAAGAAGAAAAATTTGAGATGGGCAGGGTAGAAATACTAAGAGTTACAGAGTCACCAACAAGGAACTCTTAAATAAACTCCAGCTGTGATGCCGACCACCAGTGAGCCCAGCAAGTCACAGCCTAAGTACATCAGAATGCAGGGGAGGGCTGGGCCAGGTCTCCTGACCCCAGGCCCTGGCCATGCACATAGAAGGCACTCAAGAGGTCTTTATCCTTTAGTTGAAGGAGTTACCTTATATACTAGAATACCCAATATTGAATCTTAAAATCATCTTTGCTAGTTTTGATCATGTCAGTCTTAAAGATGAAATCTAAAACTCAAGTTGAGACTCTTAAGGTCATTAAAATTCCAGTGTTAGAACTCATTTAGTTGTTTAGCTATTTAACTTCCTCTACTTTGTGTAATTGTTATTAGGATGATTTCATTTTTATGTCATAAGTGAAAGTATCTTAATGCTGGACCAAGAAATTCCCTTAATGCTCACAGTTTGGCCAGGTTTCACATAGCCAGTGCAATTTTCTGGCATGTAGCCATTAAGCTTCATGAAGAATTCACTCCAAAAGTTTAATCATCAGCACCCATATCCTCTGGGGAGATCACAACACCAGGTAAACAATTTAATTCAGCAGATATTTATAGATCACTATGTGCAAAGTAAGGAGCCCTGGTGGTGTAGTGGTTAAGCACTTAGCTGCTAACTGAAAGGTCGGTGGTTCAAACCCACTAGCCACTCCATGAGAGAAAGAGGTAGCAGTCTGCTTCCATAAATATTACAGCCTTAGAAACTCTATGTGACAGTTCTACTCTGTCCTGTAGGGCCGCTATGAGTTGGAATCAACTCGACAACAGTGGGTGTTTGTTTTGGTTTTGGTTTTATGTGCAGAGTCCTGTGCTAGACTCAGCAGAAGACAGAAAGAAGAGTAAGCCACAAGTATATAGTCTTGCAGAGGACACAGCAAGCATACAAGTAACTGGGATGAAATAACTGCTATAAGAGAACTACAAAGTTCTTTGGAAATCCATTTGGGAAAATGGGCAAAAAACTGCACGGAGGAGGTAGTATTTGAACAGGGCCTGTGGAAGATGGATTGAACTTTAATAGAGACTTTTCAAGGGTATCATTCCAGGCAAAGGAAGCAGGGTGATCAAGCATGAGTCTGGTTAAGCCCCAGACTTTTTCAGAGTTCTGTGAAGCCTCTAGTCCCTGCTGCAACAGAAATCTCTTTGACATTGGCCATGTGAAGTTCCAGACCCACAAAGGTGGGGTTCAGAGAGGCAACATATTTACCACTAGCTGAGAAACCTGTTTGGAAATTCCACTTCTATAGGAGGAACCAGAGTGTCCAGGTCTGAGAACTTTCGACTCTACATAAAAGCGGCACACCCTACCCACATACACCTCTTCTTCTTGAGTGAACTCCCATTCAAGTACATGAAAGTCCCTCATCCTTGGAAAAGAGCTATCTGACTTTTTTTTTCTTTTTTTTATTCTTTACAAACCTATTGCGCATATCAAGAGTCAACTTTGAACCCAACAAAGGATACCAAGCCATGCAGGCAGCCAGGGACACTTACCGTGCTGGCACAACCAGACAGATAAGGAGCCCCCCAACAACTCTTTCTGCTCCTGTAATAATGATCCATTCTTAAAGAGCCCAGTCTTTAATCTCCTCGTGTAAATCACAAGAAAGAACTATGTCAGGGCTGCCTCAGTTCTAAGACCTGGGATCAACAAACTTAGGAAAAAGTTGTCAGGCAACAGAGACTCTGAAGAGGTGGCAGGCAGAGTGTTCGGCAGGCTGGGAGACCACACAAGGGTGTCATGGTTTATGTGCAGAAAAGGCAGCTTCTGCCCCTCAGAACAGGATTGGTGGGATGACAACAAGAGAGGACACGATAACGGCAGATAGTGGAGGGGTCTTCCCAACAGTTCGATGATCAGAGTCAGAGCAGCAGAACAAAAAAAGAAAAAGAAAAAAATCGGACCCTTAAATTCAGAGGCATAGAGACAAGCTGAGATGGGAACATTGAGATGGAGGATTTTCCACTTTTGCTATTTAAACGATATGCTTAAATATTTTAAAATAAAAGGGATATATAGTGAGAAATATTTCTGTAAAGACTGTTTGCCTTTGTAAACCACAAAGAACTCCTTCGGAGGAATTTATCTTCCTTTAGGGCTCTTTTGTGGCTAAGGTCAGGCTGTGATTGAGCAGAGAAGGCCTTCAGCACTTCTCAACGATGGAACCTCAAGCAGATCCTCATTCCATTTCCTCTCCAGTGTCTTCATCTGTGGGATGAAAGGGACGGGCTAGATCTGTGTCTTTGACCTAGGGTCTGTGACTACAAGAAGTCTGTTAGAGCCCCTGAAATTACATCCAAAATCATGCATCCATGTGGGGATTTGCATTAGTCTGAAAAGAATAATTCGTGGCTTCTTTTTCATAGGGAACCATGACCCTAAATGATTGGTAAGCTCCCTCACTACCTTATTATTCTATTAGTTAGAGCTACACCACCAGCACCAGAGAAGCCGCTCAGGAGTGCCAAGGCTTTCACTTGGGGGTGCTTACTTGGGGGAGGGGAGGGGAAGGAAGCTCCCTGTGGGACTCAGCAAGGCTTCCCACCAGCTATCAGGCAGCCTTTTAACCTCCCAACCTAATCCTGAATGTGGGCCTTGCCTCGATCCTGGTGTGTGGGCTGTCGGCACCCATGCAGTTACAATTTTGGCTCAGAGTGCTGTAGATCTTTCTATGCATTTAGAGTATTTTCTGAAGCTTTCCATGTCTAAGCTCTATTTAATGGAATCTATGCATAGTAAGTAATCAGGTCAGAAGAAGCAGCATCCCGGTTTGAGATCAATCGCTGGCTAATACTTTATCTAGGCCAC